GGTTTTTAGCCACTCAAATCTTCTGTCTTAAAGAATAACTGTGGGGTCAGTGTTAGAGAACGAAGGTAATTCATATGACACATGTTCCCCCACCAACCTGTGTCTCACGTTAATAAGTGCTGGCAGAGCAGATTCTACAGTAATTAATATCATCGCTGTCTCATTTCGAGGTAAATGTCCTCACCTTGCAGTGAACTGTGATGATACCCACCTCAAGTTTTAAGACAGGTTTAGACAATGACTTTGAACCGTCAGGTGTCCCTATCAGGTATGTGGATGTCAGGTGGGTCAAAGCACAACCGTGGTGAAATATGATCATTGGTGTTGGCTTCTTACACATTCCTTACACGCCCTAAGATCGCAGAATATCCAAAGGATTGACTGCGCCATTGGTTTAGTTCTTAGAGTCAAAGTGCACACCTAATCGCCTGTTCCTCTACTGATCATTGGTGTTGGCTTCTTACACATTCCTTACACGCCCTAAGATCGCAGAATATCCAAAGGATTGACTGCGCCATTGGTTTAGTTCTTAGAGTCAAAGTGCACACCTAATCGCCTGTTCCTCTACGTGTATGCTTAGTGGGCCCAAGCACAGTAGGGTGTCCAGTGCAGTTTGAGGTGTGCTCTTGAATGCATCCGTTATTAGTAGGGATGCGTGTCGTTGAACTTTATCAATGTGATGTTAATAGGATGATTTTTTCAAGGAATGCCACCAGAATAGAGCTCCATAGGTTAAGATGGGCGAACAATTGACTCATAAGCCTTTATCTGTGGACTTCTTGCAAGAATAAAGTGCAATTATGCCTCTCTTTGCTCGCTCCTCGGTGTTCCTCTTCCATCTTATTTGGCGGTCGAGGATTGTGCCGAGCGTCGTTGGTACAAAAGGACATTTACGTTTCCTCGTAAAGAGGACGAGCTCTGTTTTTGATGGGTTCACGCCTTGTCCATTGGGACGAGCCCATCTTGATAAGGTGACTAGAGCTCCCTGGATCAGATCAGAGATAGTTTGCAGGAATTTCCCAGCAACAAACAGGACAATCAGCATAAGCGAATACCTTTGTCCCAATTTTCCACAGATCTATGAGTATGTGGTTGATAACCAAAAGCCAGAGCAATGGTGATTGAACTTCGCCTTGCGGCTTGCCCCTGGTGACCGATTTCCTGACAGATATTTCCCCAATGCTTGAGTTGATAATTCTGCTACTAAGCATTGTATCAATCCAATTTATGAGAAGTTGGGGACCCTAAGTCTTGGCTAAATGTTCTGATCACCAAAACGGTCCTGTATAAGAGATTCATCCTTATTAGTTAGGGTGAGGTCGATGACTTCCTCTCTATCTTTAATTTTAAATGTTGCATCATTGCACCTATTACATATTTGGAATTAGTGTCGTTGCTGCCCCTTTGAAAGTGGTGGGCGTTGCCATTGCAGCCTATGATGAGATGCCCTTTGCCGTCCAGATCTGTGAGCAGCTTCTCTACTTCGTGGCCGGGAGGTCGGGTTGCTTGTACGGTAGGTAAATATATATGAAGATGAGGACGCTGCTAGTCGGAAACGCATCCAACCGGTTCCGAAATGCAACTCGTTTGCACATCCCCATCACCCAGAAAGACCAGTTCCTTCAGACGTTTTTCGATTAGTAGCCATCCACTCTCGTTGATTTTACCTTCCGGTTCAGCCTTATCGATGACAGCTACTCAAAGATTGTCTGGGAATATGGTTTGGGAATGCTTCCTCTTTCGTCCTGTTTGGCTTGCCGATTGTGTCTTGACCGCTTCCTTGTGGCTCCTAACAGGCTTTGAGCTTGTAGGGCTAGCGGAGTAGTTTTGGTCACAATCGGCTTGCTGACCGACCGAATGGGAGTTATTTGAGTCGGCTGTGAGGTCTGAGCCGTAGATGTCTTCTTGGCCTCAGGATGTGGTTCCTCCATAGACCGACCTCTCTTCAACGCTGAGCGCGAAAAGCTGTTAGTTTCCTTTGGAACTGCCGAGATTGCAGTCATCGCTTCTTGGCAGAAGGATTTGACTCAACGGGGTCAGCATCCACCTCCACCGTAGGAACGGTTACCGGAGTAGTCGTATTGTCGGTTATGAGTTTGCTGACCTGGGTCTTCTACTCTCATTGATACCAGATGGTAGGAGAGCTAGAGCAACCTGATCAAGAGAACAGCCGGTAGTTGCGGGTGGTTCTTTTTGAACTTTTTAACTACCCTCAGGTTCGTCTCGATCAGGATTCTCTCTCTTTCCGTAATCTGTGTGGGGTCCCGGCCAATAAATTTCTTACAGAACTTTACCGACCTTTTGTAACCCCTTTTTGCTTTCGCCTCTTTCGAGTCGGCGCCTTCGCGAGTGGTAGGGTTGCTACCAGCACCTACGTCGATGGCGTCCTGTCGATGAAGGCTTGAAGATCCCTCCTGATTTTGACTCTCCTCTGGTACCGCTGAGCTGTCCGCGACTGCTTATTTAATTCGCAGCTGCCCAATATATCTATTGGGCGTTCCACTATCCGCAACCTGTGGACTCGTCCGGTAGTATCCAGCTATGCTTCCGCGAACGGACCGGTTTAAGCATAAGTAAAAAAAGTTGAAGAATTATAAAAAGTGTTGTTTATGTGTATATATTTACGATTTTAATTCCTCAATTTCGTGACTGTGGCGCTAACTCAGGGGCCAAATCACCGCATTCGTAATCGAGTTTTGTTTCCTATAGAGAAACATTTTGATCGCTGTAAATTTTAGCATCACCGCTTTTAACCGTAATTTATTTTGTCTATTATTTTTCTTACATTGCTGTTAACAAATAATAAGCAATTGGAAGCGAAAGAGAATTTCAAAATATGTTATTGTGATCAAAATATGTTATTTCTGAGAAATTAATACTGTTTTTGTGTTTTGTGATGAGTACAAAGCGGTATTAGTGATGAAAATTATTCGTGACACTGTACTGTACAAATTGAAAATAAACAAGTAAAAAAACATTAAGTTCGGCCGGGCCGTCTTAGGGCAAAGGAAACATTAGAACCCATTATGACCCACAAATATCAATTTTTAGACATATTCGTGGGAAAATGTGGCAAAAATGAGCAAAATATCGAATATCGGAGGGAACCGCTATATGAGGCTATACAAGAACGTGAAGCTATGCATACAATGTTTTGGCAACGAAGCTATAACCTATTAGCACACAAATACCAATTTTTAGATAAATCTACGAAGAAATGTGGCAAAATCATCAAAATACCGAATCATCAAGGTACCGTTATATGGGAGCTATACCACAACGTGGACCTATACATACAATGTTTCGCCACTGCAGCTATGACCCATTATGACCAACAAATACTAATATTTATGCAAATCCGAAAAAAATGTGACAAAAACCATCAAATCCGGAATATCGGGAGGTACCGTTATATGGGTGCTATACAAAAACGTGGGCATATATATTTACAATGTTTCGCCACCTGCGCTAATGGATTCTAGCCAAATAGCACTTTTTGGACCGAATATCTGGCGGTACCGTTATATGGCGGCTATATCAAAACGTGGACCAATCATTCTAAACGCAATACAAATTGTTCTGCTACATTTTGACGCTCTACATCAAATAATGTGGGTTGTATTATGATTTTAACAGACAGACGGACAGACAGAAGGACATCGTTAGGTCGACTTAGAATTTTATGCTGATTATAAATATATATACTTTATGGGGTATACAACTAATACTTAGGGATGTTACAAACGGAATGACAAAGGTGGAGGTATAATAAAAAAAAGTATGTTTTGCATAATGCCAAAAAAGGAATACTGCAAAATACTACTAAAGTAGTACTTTGTCAATTTTGTTGCCATTTTTCTTCGAAGCAGGTCTTGAACCTGCGCTGTAGATTGTGAGAGTATAGAAATTATAAATATGTTTTTGGCTGATATTTTCTTCTTGGCAGACTTGTGAACAATTTTCTGTTTCCACACATTTGGTAATAAAAATGTAAAAACATGCCATTTTTTTCTTTTCTTTAATTTTTTTTAATTTATGTTAACATTTTGAAACGACAATATAGTCTAACGCTTTTTACAATTGCAATTATTAAAATATAAAAAAATTATAAACTTTAAATTTGACAAATGTTCATGTCCGAACCATAATCACGTAGAATTAATAAACTTGCAAATATATAATTAAATTTTTATTTTATGAAATTAAATAAATAAATATTATATTAACATAAACTCAAAAAATCAATTATAAATATAAATGAAAACGTTTTATATCGTATATAAATATATGTTAAAACCTAAACTATTTACATTACGACTTAGTTTATTGCGAGTATATGCATTACTGTCTTAATGGGTCAATATGAAACTGTCTATTTAAAGGTTTTAATAAATGGAATGTCATGCACCGTTACTTTATATTGAGTTTCATAAAAACAAACATGTGATTTTCTAATTGATGTTATTTTTTTAGAGTCTAAAAATTTATACAGAAGTCTTCGCTGTGGTGCGAGCAATTTACTTGAAAACCCTAAACACATTGCAGCATGACTTCTAAACGTTACAAATTCACAAACTACAGAAAATATGTACTAAGTAGGGAACTTTATTGGATTTAGATGGTGTGATGCAGGTATTCATCCAAAAAGGCTTTAGCCATAACCTACTAAACAAGAAAAGCATAAATAATTTAAGCCTTGAAAGCAGGCAGTTCGATAGATTGAATGCAACTTAAGTATAAGGGGTTTACAAGCGGGGAGGCATAAAATTGCAATATATATTATTTAGACACTTCAAACTTATTTGAAGATTATAATCTTCTTAAAAATAAGCATTAAAGTGACCGGTAACTAGGACTGTGTGACCCAGTTTTAAATATTAATTAAATAGTTATTATCAATTAATTAGCCAAGATATGAGAAATACTCTCACTTTTTACATCTTGCAACTTTTTATAAAATTGTTTATTTAATTTTTAAAAATATTTTGCTTTACTTTTAGTAGACGACCTTTAAAATGGTGATGAACTTAACGTTATCAATTTCGAATATTCATCGCAGTAATATGAGCATCAATAGCAGTGCAAGTTCTATAGAATCACCTTCCTCGCCAAGTGGAGGAATTACATTTCAGGATGTCCCATTATCTGAACTAAGCAAGGGCTCGATGAAGAAATTGTCCCATCTAATGAATTCAAAAAAAATATTGCGATCAGAAGAAGGCTATGAACGTGATTGGCGTGGTCTAGCATTATTGGCAAAACAAAAAACATTGTGTGATGAAAACAGCAATACTGGTGATGATCCAATGAACAAGGTTATTCAGCTTTGGTGTAAAAACAACCCAAACACTGCAACATTTGCAAATTTAGAGAAGTTCCTAGGCATAATTGACCGCTGGGATGTCTGCGATGACATATATGAAAACTTGTGTAAGTATGATCTAAATTACATAAATTTAAATTAATGACATAATACAGTTGCTAAGGTAGTCTCATTTCAAGCAAGCGTGTTTAGGATTAATCTAACTTATAATTTGGATAGTTAAGTGGACTACAGTAGCTCTTATTCGTGGGAATGGAAATGGTTGTTTTAAGAGGTGTCGCTAACTCCACCCTCCTTAAATATCTGCGTCCCGCAGGCTACAGAATCGTAGATAGTTGTCTAGAGTTGTATTTTAGGGAAGTTCAACTTTTTGGTCTGTTGGAACCAAATCCATCCGATAGATATAACTATGACACATATACGTACGAGGTTTATTCCGATAGAGTTGTTGAGTCTCATGTTCAGTATATTCAATCGATTAATATTGTTAGTACTAACTTCATGTACGTACTTTATATTTAACTGTAGGTCATTATGCGTTTTCTTTTTTTTATAGAAATGCTACCAATAGTGGTCCTACACATGAACCAATACCCCGGGACCGCTTTCGCATTACTTCGGGGTACAGTTCATTGACTGGTCTATGCCTTCATATTTTATCTACTCCCCCATCCACATTTTCATACTATGATTAGGGGTTCGCTCGTTCTCTTCTCTCGTGAAGACTTTTCGCCGTCATTATATCTTGGATATAATGAGTATATTTCACCCATCGTTCTTCTGATTCCACCATTCCTATTACTGTTGCTTTTAAAGAGCTATTATTGTTAACATATATTCTATGTGCAAGCCGTTTGCTTTCATTGTACTCACATCTGAAGACTGTGTGTTCTACGGTGTCCTCATATAGTCCACAAGTCGTACAAATTGGATTTCTTTAATATGAAACCTATGTAAGTATGTGACAAAATTTCCATGTCCGCTAAATATTTGGGACAGGAAGAAATTAAGTTCTCCGTGGTTTCGTTTTGTCCACGTTTCTATAAATGGGGTTAATTCGAATGTATGTCTTCCTTTTGGGCAGTTTTCCCAGTTTTTTTGCCATTTTTGGCTTAACATGCGTCTAGCTTCCATCTTTATTTGCTGCAGCTCTTGGCTACTATGAATGCATGCAGACATTTCCGACGGTCGTAAACATATTTCCTCTCCTCAAATTGTTGGATTATTGGTGGTATGCCAGATAATACCGACAGTGCTGGGGTGGACACTGTTTGGTATGCGGATGTAACTCGTAGTAGACATACACGGTGTACTTAACAATCATATTAGTTAACTTTTTACTGTTCGCAATGGCATCACTAATAATAGGAGCTGCGTACAACATTTGTGCATAAGCAACCGTTATTATCAATCTTTTAAACCAGTTGTCCTGGATCTTTCAATTTGCTGTTGATGCCTCTTCTGCAATTCCTTTAACATGGGTTTCAGAAGACAGTTTGGAGTCCAAAAATACTCCCAGATATTTCAAACTTTTGCTTATGGTTACCTCATGTCCGTCCACCATTAACTTAGGATTGACGAATGCACGTCTCCTAGTTATTATAATTGCCTCTGTTTTGTGAGCAGCGAGTGATAATCTTTTCGATGTCAGCCACCTGGAGATTCGCGAGAGGTAGTCATTCGCAACTATTTCTATTAGAGGTGTTGTGGGTTGATCGACCAATAGTGCCACATCGTCTGCGTATCCAATAAGCTTTGTACCTTTCGGTAGATTCATGTTTAGCAGATCGTCGTACATCAGGTTCCAGAGAAATGACCCAAGAATAGAACCTTGAGGTACGCCTGATGAGATTTTATAGCTTTGGACTCCTAATATGGTATCAAACAGCAGAATTCTATCTTCTAGATAACTGTCGATCATTTTCACTAGATAATGAGGAATTTGGCGTTTTTCGTATTACGTTCCAGTCAGCCGAGTTGAATGCATTTTTTATATCCAGGGTGTGATAACTGCACAGAAGCGATTTTGATCCATGGATTTTTTTGATGTTTCACCACTTCCTTTATAGCATCTACAGTAGACTTTCCTTTAACAAAGCCAAACTGCAGGCCAGAGAATCCTCCTCTTCTGTTTGTTTCTGCTTCTAGCCAATTCAGTAATATTTTTTCTAAAAGTTTTCCACAAGTGTCGAGCATGCAGAGTGGTCTGTAGGACGACGGATTGCCCAATGGTTAATTGCTTTTTCGGAATAGTACAAGTTGTTGCTTTCCCATGCACTTGGAAAAATGCCCGAATCGAGACATTTGTTGAAAACATCTAAGAGAAGTTCAGGCCACATGTTTCCAAGAAGTGCGACTGCCTCGTTTGGTATTCCGTCTGGTCCTGGTGCTTCCTTTGTTTTAAGCTTTTGGCAAGCTTGGTGTACTTCAAGCACGGTAAACCGTGGTGCGTTTTGTTCTTCCTCAAGTTGTATACTTTCTCGTGGTATAGTACTTTTTGGGAATAGTGTGGTTACAATAGTTCGTGCCCACTCTGGATTTTTTATTCCTGGTATACAGTTTCGGTTTCCAACCCTTTCCATTACTATCTTGTATGGAAGACCCCATGGGTCATTTTGAACTTCTTCGCATAAATATACCCAGGCTTTTTTCTTGGACTCTTTTATAGCTGCCCGTAGGTTACGTCTGACATGTCTATATATTTCCATTGCTTCCGTGTCGCCCTTTTTCCTAGTAACCGTTCTCTTTGTTTTATGGCACGTTTTTCTTAATTTAGCGTCGTTCCACCAGTAGACTTGTGTTTTGTTTTTGCCCAGTACAACAGTTTTGTATTCGTCACATATTTGAGTGAGCATATTACCTAGGTTGTTAACTGTAGTGTTTATGTCTTCCATATCGTTTTTTTTTTTCATAACTCGCTTTCAAATCCAATAATTTATGTGTGCATCTTTCATGGCCCATTTTCTTTGTGTTCCACTTTTACCTGGCGGTGTTTACAGGGGTAGTGTTTTGCGTTATGGTCATCATAATGTATTGGTGGTCGCTTAATGTTTCTTCTGTTAAGACCTCCCACTGGCATATTTTCTTCGCAATTGATAGTGAGCCGAGAGTAATATCGATAATGGAATTTGCCTCCCCTCGTTGGAAGGTTGGGGTATTCCCTCTGTTAAGGACTATTAGTCCCAGCGATGCAATCATCTCACTAACAGCTACTCTTCTTCTGTCCGTTGTTCTTGACGACCACTCCGATGACTTACTATTAAAATCGCCTCCAATAAGTACTGGTGTGTCATAACGTGTTGTACAAGTTTATCTATCTTATTAAGGAATTCCGTTATTTCTATATTTGGAGAGAAATAGCAACTGTATATTCGAAAGCCGTTCATGTGAAGAACGACGAAACCTTTCTTCGCTTTCCTCTACTTTTGTAATATTCAGGAGCGGGTTTCTTATGTACACAGATGCTTTGCCCTGTTTATCTTGGTACCAATTCTTTGATTCACATTTTCCATATTGTTTGCTTATAAGAACTATGTCGATATCTTTTTCGTCCGCGTTCCGTACCATAAGGTCCTGAGCTTGGGGCCCTCTGCCCAGGTTTATTTGGAGTATCTTAAGTGACATATCTACAGGTAATGGTTGTACCCATATAATGGTTTATGTCACTTTTACCAGCCTCCAGGCATATAACACATCGTGGTAGCATTGTGCATGTATTCGATTTGTGTCCGTTTATCCCACTTATCCCGTTTATTTGACTTCTGTCTTTCCTTTACAGAATCGGCCTACGTGACCTTGTTGTAGGCATCTGAAGCATCGTTTGGGATAAATCTTTCTTCGGACTCGGCATTTTACTAATCCCACGTTGTTTTTACTGAGTTTTAGGACCTTTTCAGCTATGTGTCCAGGAACTTCAACTAGAGCTTGTTTTATTCTGCCGTAGAATTTTCGTATGTTACGAACCTTTATTCCCTCGGAATTAGTTTCGCATGATGTTTCCATTATTATTGAGATAATTTCATTGTCCTCCGTTGTTTCCTCTAAATCTCGGATGTCCAGGAGGAATTTCTCTTTTTGGTTTTGAACAGTGATGTCTTCTCCCAGCGATGTCTTGATTGCGTATTCAAGCATGTTCATCCCCTTTTCCCAGTTCAATGTGCACGTTTCCGTCCTTCCTTTTGCGGATTTTATTTATGCCAACTCCAATTTCTTCTGGTTTTATAGAGGTTTTCATTTTTCTGAGAATGTCTGCATAACTGCAATTTCCAGCTTGAATTGTAAGAGACTCTCCCTTTGGTTTTACTACGATTTTTCGAAGATCAGGTTTATCTTGGTATTGTTTCGCCTTCTCGTCACTGTTGACCATTGTGGTGCACTTTCCCGTACAGTTTTTTCCATCTCGAGTCCGAAAGTTCGCACCTTTTTGTTTGACTTATTTTTTCCGGGGATATGGATTCATTTCTTTTTTGGTTGCTCCGTGGATATAATAAGTATATTTCACCCATTGTTCTTCTGATTCCAGCATTCCTATTACTGTTGCTTTTAAAGAGCTATTATTGTTAACACATATTCTATGTGCAAGCCGTTTGCTTTCATTGTACTCACATCTTAAGACTGTGTGTTCTACGGTGTCTTCATATTGTCCACAAGTCGTACAAATTGGATTTTCTTTAATATGAAACCTATGTAAGTATGTGGCAAAATTTCCATGTCTGCTTAATATTTGGGACAGGAAGAAATTAAGTTCTCCGTGGTTTCGTTTTGTCTATGTTTCTATAAATGGGATTAATTTGAATATATGTCTTCCTTTTGGGCAGTTTTCCCAGCTTTCTTGCCATTTTTGGCTTAATATGCGTCTAGCTTCCATCTTTATTTGCTGCAGCTCTTGGCTACTATGAATGCATGCAGACATTTCCGACGGTAGTAAACATTCCTCCCCTCAAATTGCTGGATTATTGGTGGTATGCCAGATAATACCGACAGTGCTGGGGTGGACACTGTTCGGTATGCGGATGTAACTCATAGTAGACATACACGGTGTACTTAACAATCATATTAGTCAACTTTTTACTGTTCGCAATGGCATCATTAATAATAGGAGCTGCGT